GCCCGTACCAAATGGCCCTGAAAAACAGATATTTTAAACTTTTTGAAAAAAAATATTTTAATATTTTATGAACAAACCAATAATTAGTATTGGAGGTAAACTAATGTTTGTAGGAGTTGTGATAGCAATAACAGCTTCTCTTTGTTTTACATTTAATTTTTTGTCAATTATTTCTACCCATTGTCGCTTTGGACTCCATGGTATAATTGGTTCCAAAAAAGTGTCAGGAAAGATAATTTTGAAGTCAGCTATATGATCAATAGCATAATGCCATTCACAGTACGGTATTCGATTTAGTTGAAACTGTACATCAAATTTTACATTTGTGTCTGCTTTAAGACCAAGACCAGTAACTGTATTGGCAGATAATCTAAGGTAGATAACGTTTTTCCCTTTATCTTCAATTTGTGCTTCATGAACAGTTCGCTTTTCATCAGAAGACATTTTGTCTAAAATAATATTACATGTTAAAAATAATAATTTAAATACTATACAATTAAATAGTTTTTACCTTTAGATGGGGAAAGATATACAGTGGTACAATTATTTAATATTAATCTTCCGGCAGAAGTGTCTTCAGATACATCTGTTCCGAGTTGTAATAATGCAAACAACTCATTATTATGAGAATATTTTGCTGTACTGGCTGCAACGCCACTAGGTGAGAGTAAATAGCAGCTAGCCAATTGCAATTTTGCAGTCAAATTGTATCTGGCCACCTAAAATCAAACAATACATATTACATTATTAAAATTAGAATAAATAAAAAATAAAAATAAATAAATACTTGTTCATAACGTGCAAGTTCTTCAACATATAATAACTCATGAATTCTTGCTCTATAATTGTTCCTTGTAAGTTTTTTCTCTGAAATGGTGGTATGAGTTAAAGAAAAAGTGGAAGGACAAGGTGCAGAATAACTCAATAGTAAATTTTGCTCTCTCTCTCTATCATCATGCACTTGAGTAGGTCCAATTGATGATTGAAACTCCACAATATTTGAATTATTTGGGTTCCATCGTTCCATAGAGGATAATATTAATTCTTTGTGAATTTCTTTGACTTTACCACAATCTGTCACAGGTATTACGTCTACACAAAGATGTTTAACCAGAACAGGACCAAGACCAAAATCAAACACTACTGCCTGTCTAAAGGTTCCATAAATATTTGTTGTAAAATAAACTTTTATCTGATGTCTTAATTTGGAAGACAAGGACTGAGAAACAGGATGCTGAGCTTGAGATACCCATTCTTGATCATTGGGTGGTTCCATATCGAAAGCAACTTGTTGCAAACCATTATCAACCAAAATATGTGTAAGAGAAAAATGATTACGATAAGTATCTTGTAGTAAAGCCACAGCTTGAAGAGATGAAGTTGTTTCTAGGACAAAGGTCCATTCACGGTTACTAGTTTTAGATTCAACAGTAGTTACTAAGTCACAATCATGAGATTCAACAACACTGTCCAAACTTTCGCGCATAATTTTCTCTGGATTTGTTGACTGTACCCACCTGCAATAGTATTAATAACAATAATAATGTTGATAAAATCTAATCTATTTTAAATTATTGATTTACCTTTCTAATAATTGTTCTGTATAAGATTTCCCATAAAGTTTATTTTCACTAGCACGTTGTAATTTCATTCGTCTGTACTCAAATCTTTCTTTCCATTCAGTTAATTCTTCCATACCATGTGCTTCAACACACTGAGCACCATACTTGCAAGAGTTTTCTGTTCCTTCTCCTTCCGAAAAAGCTTCACATAAGCTAAAATTTTAAATCATTAATAAAGTGATTATGAATAACTTAACCAATTAGTCGTACGTATAGCATTCAGAAGAGAATCCTCGTGGTGGTGGACGCCATTTCCAATCACGTCCCTCATCAGACATTATCACTGTTTGGTGGTTTTCAGTAGCACAATGTGCCCGAAGTTGATTTTCTAAATGGAATGATATACCACAATATGTACAAGAATATCTCATTTCATTTTTCTTTGGAAATTTTAACTCTGTTTGCTTCTCCTTTCCTAAAAAATATATTATTATTAATTAGTCTTCTGTAGTATAGTTACTGAAAATAGGGATAGAACAGCTATTAACATAAGAAATAAAGATAAATATATAGTAGTGGATTAATATATAGTTTGTGTGTTACTTTAACAATATAGAATAATTTTAATTCTGCTTTAAAAACAAACTTAAATTGTTAAATGCTTATATCTAAAATAGTTTTGTATAAATAATTTCAATACGTAGGCCTGACAATAAATCAACTAGGTGGGCAGGTAAGAGGACGGCTGTACATATATATTATTCATTTTTATAGATTTCTTTTTTTTAAGTATTCTTGTGATCAGAATAAAAATTTCTCTCAAATTTCACTCCCTATACTATAAATGTGTTTTACCTTTTAGAACTAATTAAATTAGATTTATACTGAATAAGTGTAAAGAAAAAATAATTAAATATTTCAATAGTATTTATAAACTTATACATCGATTTAAGTATATATTTTTTTAAATCAATGTGTTACAACTTTTAAAGTGTATGTGTAAGTGGATGACACATATATTAGCTACTTATTAAAAACACATGAGCGGAATTCATAGTGTGGTTTCAGAAGTATGGGACAGAATAGTGTCAGCTCAACAAATTAAAAAATTAATATATTTAAATATTTTAAATATGGTATTTTATTGTAACAAAAGACTAAAATATCACAGTACAAAAGTAAAAAGTTTCAAATAAAACCAATGAGATTTATAATTTGTTTAAATAAAATATATTAGTTCCTAGATTAAATTATTATTATTTTTTAAGTTGTAATTTTAATGTTTTAATGTTAATATCTATTAAATACAAAATCAATTTTATTTCTACATGTATTATAAGAATTTAAAAAAATTGTTATTATTATTTGGTAAGTAACCATATTTATGCTGGATTACATAAACTATTACTACATTTTTAACAAATCAATAGTGAGATAATGGTCAAGTTCAACCGTGATTTAATTCTTATGATTGTCCATTCAACTTTAGTGAACCATTAAATTTGATTTGTGTGCAACTTGCTATTAGTGAAATAGTACCTAGGTACATATTAATTGATAATAATATAAATTGTCATTTTAATAAATATGAATTTTATAAATATTATTTTAAATTACATATTTTAAACACCTAATAATCTTTTTAATATAAAGCTTATGGAAATAAACAAATACAAAAATTAGCAGTTGTCCGGTAATATTTATCAAAAATGTAATTTAATTAATATGTATAAATAGTGATAAAATAAATTACTTAATTACTTATTATAACATATTTTGTTTATTTATCTTATTATAGTCAATAAACTACTCACTAGTTGGTTCTTGGAAAACTTCAGTGACTTTTGACTGATAATTTGTTCTTAAATCATATGATTCACCATTATGCTTTGCTATATTAGAGTAAGTCATACCATTTTCTTGTCCTAAGGAGTAAACAATATTTGAATAAGTTGTATAACTGAAACCATATGTTATAATGGTAAATTATTACATACCTGCCCCATTAAACCGTTCAAAGAATTGGCTGTTTCTTTCGAAATGTTGTATGCCATTGTTTTCATTACTAGATGACTCAAATAGTTGGCCAACCATTTTTTCATCGTCAACTAGCTCAACGGGATGCTTTCTATTCCTTCGACTTTGCTCCCTGACACCAGTAGCAATCCAAGAATCTAGTCTATCTCCAAACAGCAGATCCTCGTTGATCTGATTCAACTGATCTTCTAATGTCTGTACTGGTGTAGGTATGTCTTCTTTTGACATACTCCACACCAAGCGTACAGTGTCCAACATTTTTTTGGCCTCACTGCTATTGTCCGACCTCACCACCCATTCCAAGGCAGCTTGTTCCGCTTCGCCATATCTTTTCAATGCAAACAGCGCGTTGACTAGATTACGTCGCACACGTGAGCTATAAGCATTTTCATCGTCAGTCAGCATAGATATGATGTGTCGGCAATCGTGAATGACGTCTTCATATTTTTTCAATTCCAGACTGCACTGTGACCGGCCCAATAGATAGCCGACGAACCGTTCCGATGGCAAGCTTTTGGCCACGGCGTTTTCCAACAACTGGTCGAAACAGAAAAATGCGTTGCTCCATTGTTTGTGGTTCAGGTACTCGATGGCTCTGTGCTCGACCTCGGCGAAATTGGTCTCCATGTATGAGCAAGAGTGTACGAATTTGCTTGTCTACCGTCGTGCAACTTATGTGATCATAGTTAATACGGGTTTGTTCATTTGTGTTACAATTAATCATTTACTATTTAGTTCTGAACATAACACACATTTAGGCGTAGGAAAAACATAAACAATGGATAAACTTCCCTATTCCGCTTATCAATCCAATTTTTATTCTTATCAAGATAATTTTCTTTCCAATTTTAATATTATTGATGTTTTAGAAACCCAAGGAAATTGTATTAGTCTTGTCAGTGTCGTCGTTGCCGTTCCTAACATCCACCAGATTTTTTCCCGCTCGTTTTCACCTTAGATTATAATGGGGTTCGTGTTTGTGATAGTGATTACTTTCATTTCTTAAATCTCAAAGTCTCGGAGCCCAGAGTTAACGATCTGAGACAGTATTTAGTGTTTACTGTTTAGTACTTCAGTAGTTATTAGTTGAAAAGGATAATCCTAGACAAGTCACTAGTCTTAAAAGTCGTTATCCTTTTATCTTCGGTATTCGTTTGTCGACATTGTAATTCGTGCTTTCGTAGCTCGTAGATAATAATAATATTATATAGTAATTACTTAAAATATCATTTGAATCATCGCATCATAGGGTTCGTATTCTTCTCTTGGTTGTCGAGTGGTATTTTTAAAATTACCTAACATCGACCATTGACGTCTTTGTTTTGTCGCATAGTGCTTACACTCACACAGCTCTTGAAGGAATTTTACGAATTCACCGGCAATTATTTTTCGAAAGTCAACATGCCTGAATTCGTTGGCAACTTCGATCAAACAGAATTTGAACGGTCGTCGTTCAATTACGCAGACATGTCGTCGGTGTTCCACCTGAAGGATGTCAACTACACCAGACAGTTTGCACACATTTATGCCCACAGACTGGTGCAGATGAGAGACATTCTTCAAGTGAAAATACAACAAAAATGGGGTATAGTAACATGATATATAATATGTGTTTATTAATGTTATCATTAATTCCAGGATATGAATCCCCGGCGAAAGAAAGCCCTTAAACACTAGATTTTAATAATATATGTTAGTGACCACTTATTGTTAGGTAGGTACTATGTATTACTTTTTCGGAATGTGTTAGGAATTGAACCACAAATAAATTATTATTTTTTTTTTATTGGTCTTGAAATTATAAATTTCTGCTCCAAGTCTTCGACTACTAGGGCCAATAGATTATAACTTAAAACGAAAATTTGTTAATTACAAATTTATTACTCCTAATCTAAACTTTTTTTTTTAAATTCATAATTGTTAAATTATTCCCTCTAAATTGTTCAATGTAAAAATTAGCAAAATCTTTAAATTAAAAATAAAAAGTACTTGAGTAAATAATATTATATATCCCATGTAGGTACAATTCAACACAACTTTATGATGGAAATGTAGTACAAAAAATTAATATAATATGTGTAATGCAGTGTGCATGATAAAATATGTGAACAGTAAAATTTCTTTCCAAACTCCAGATTTTTAGACTCTTTTGGCAGGACTTTATTGGTCTTTTTTTTGTCAAACTTTTAGATAGAATACCCAGAAGGATATTTAGTCCAAGATATTAAAATGGAATTGTGTTGGCTGTGTATTGATGTGACCAATTTACAAAATGTTTAATGTAGGATGTGGATGGTTTCGTCTTCTCAAGATTTTACTCCATATAGCATTTTATACAACCTACATTTAAATGTTTTGATTTAAAGACAATTTATGTCTTTTGATATAATTCAATAATAGTTTTTAGTTTATAATTTGTATGATAATATTATACTCATGTAGACATGTCATAAATGTGATTTTTATTTTGATTAGGCGAAGGATGTGATATTTATAAATTATCTGAGTTGCATGATAAGATCGGCAAAGAATGCATTATAGTTGGAACACTATTTAAACATCAAGAACTAAAACCTAGTATTTTGAAAGAAATTAGCGAAGAAGTAATATAGAATATATATACTATAAATAGTATTATACACATCATAAATGTATTTAATTGTTGGTTAATGTTTATATTTTTAGAACAATTTGATACCTCAACCACCTAGAACTCATTTTGTTTCCGATACAGATGAAGTTATATTAGAAGATGAATTACAAAGAGTGCCTTTAACATTTGATGGTTTGAATGGCAATAGTTTAACCTTAAATAATATTATGACTGGATGTATTATAGCAGTAAAAGGTATTCCTCAAGATGGTGGTAAATTTGACGTACAGGATTTTTGTTGGCCTACACCATCAGCTGCATCTAAAGCACTTACTACTCGTAGTTCGGGAGACGATAGGTATAGCGTTTATTAAATATGTACATATACTTTTGTAAGAATCTCTTAAACATAATGCAGAACTTTTCTACTTGACGGGACACACTTTTTTTGGGGGGGCAGGGACGCCAGTGATGCTTGCGTGGCCACTTGCTCCCTGCGCTAAGCTCAAACAAAAAAATTGAAAATATCCCTCGACTTGCTATGCAATACCGCCTCAAGTGGGTTAGAGGGTAACCGCCATATATCCACTCTTATTATTTTCCCTAATCTTTATATTCTAACTTTGAAACTATGCCCGACCACCAAACTTTGACTTCACCATAATTTTTAGTGTACTTAACTACATCAATTTCAAAAAGAAAAATTGCAAAAAAAAAAGATGTCCCATAAAGTAGAAATATATCCATAATTCAACAATAAATTAAGTTTATTTTTGTAGGTTTCTTGTTTTAATAAGTGGTTTAGAATTAGCCACTAATGTTGCTACTCATTTTCAAGTACAGTTATTTGTGGATTGGATAAACGGTTTACTGGGTGATAAAAAAGAAAATAGTAAAGTCTCAAAAATTGTACAAGTTTTAATAGCTGGTAATTATTTTTGAAGTGTGTGAAAATATTAGTATTTTAATATTTAAATATTTATTTTTTAATCAGGAAATAGTATACGTAGTACTCCAATGAAAAAGCCAAATTACCGTGACAAGATAGATGATTTTCCTAGAGACATTCAAGCAATCAAACAGTTAGATGACCTATTATTCCAATTAGCTGTAAGCATAGTTTAATTATTTTCACTATTTAAATTTTAAAATAATTATTAAATTTTTTAGTCAAGTGTGGATGTCCAAATTATGCCTGGAGAATTTGACCCTACTGATAGAACATTACCTCAACAAGCATTCCACAGATGTTTATTTCCCAAAGTAAATATTAATATGTAAAGTTGATACTTTTGACATTTTATAATTATTATTCTCAATTGATACAAAAATTTATATTTTCAATTTAACTGCTGATTTTTAACCATAGGGTTCTAGTTAAAGAACTAGATATCCTTATTTTAAAATTGTTCAGGAGGCATAAAATAATCCCAAGTTATTGCACTGAACTCTGTATATAAGCAGTGGCACAACTAGGCTTAAAATGTTAGAGAGTGAGTTCTCGCCTGATATTATATAAAAAGTAACCCCCCATATATTATATTCACTTAAAAATATAAAAGAATTATACAAAAAAAATCAATATTCATTTATTCCAATATTTAGGTGGCTAACCTAGTTGTGCTTATGTATATCAGACATTTCCATTTGTATGTTATTAGCAATCTAGCGGATAAGGATACCAGTAATGCTTATTAAACTGAAATGTAGACAAAATTTTCTTTATCAGAAAATATAAAAACATGAATTTCCAAAAAAAAAAAAGGTGCTCTGCTGTGCAGTAGGTTACAAGTGGGTCACTGTATAATGGATGGTGTTAAATTTGAATTCAATTATATAATATCATTGTATAAGAAAAACAATTCTGGGTGGAGACATAATATCGTTACACTAATGACAATACCACGTATCTACATTTTACCAATTGTTCAGGAGAGTGAAAAAACTGAATAAATACACAGATACAGATACAATTTGGATACGTGTTATCAATTAAATCCAATTTGGAGGGAAAATAATTTTTTTTAGGTTATTGTATCAGAAAATAATTTTGTGCGCAAGGAGATTACAAATATTTTGATACCAAAAACTCATTTTGTGTAAAATGTCAGATACGTGGTATTGTCATTAGTGTAACGATATGTCAGTCTAGGTATAGGTAAGACATATTATATACTTATCTATGGTATTAAAATAAATTGACCTATAATAGTTACCTATAATAAATTACAAATTAATCATATCACAATATCCATTAGGTACTCATAATGCTTTATACATCAACAAAAAGCCCTGATACTATCATAGATATATTATAATAGTGTAGCTTAGAAGTTTCAAGTACCCACGAATAATATTATTCAATTACAACAAAAGAACTAAAATAGTTATTCTAGGTTTTTTTTGTGTAATTTCATCCAAATTTGAATTTAAAATGACTATAAAAATTAACTGTGCTTATGTATTTTTTAGATTTTTTGGTAACAGAATTAACTACTTACGTGGAATCTTGTTTTAAATTTTAAATTTGATAAATTTTGTCAATATTCGATCTTTAAATGCTTATAAAAAAAATGATGCCTATGTATTTTTGATATTTTTCAACTGATATTGTAACAATATTTCAGGAGCCTTGTATAAAAATTTTACATTTTTTGGCTCAACAGATAAAACTTTATTGATATTTTTAGAAAAAAAAAAAATGTCCCTAAACAGTTCAAAATATTTTGAATCCCGTTTTTCCTTAATTTTTCTTTTGTTTTTCTTGGCGCTTTTGAAAATTACTGGCAATTTTAAATTTTGACCCCCCCTAATGCAATATTCACTTTCCAATCGAACAAGATACTGTAGTTGAATATCGAAGCATTATTTCGACTACTTATCATGTACAGACACAAATAAAATAAAAAAAACACACATCATTGTAAAATCAATACATTCATCGTTCCACTCAGAATCTAAAAAAATAGCCAGTTCTTGCACCAGATAATTCAATTGGTGTTCTAAAATAGATAACTGATAGATTACATTTTAGGTAGAAAATTAAATTATAAAAATTGTATATTACAGTATTATAAACTAATCCTGTCTGTTATTTTTTGTGGTTATTTTTAAAGGCTTCTGAATATTCAAGTTTACACAGAGTAACAAATCCAAATCAGTTTGAAATTGAAGGCCATCTCATAATTGGATCATCTGGACAAACTGTACAAGATGTTTTTAGATTTACTAACTTAGAGGATCCAATTGATATTATGGATAAAATATTAGATTGGGGGCATCAAGTACCATCTGCACCAGATACAATTCGTAAGTTTTTTCTTTTTTGTATAGATGTATGTTTGTTTTAAAAATTATTAAAATTAATGATTTTTAACAATATTTTATATTATTAACAATAAAGTTATCATTTTGCTTGTATATTGGTTGTTTAGAATTTTAAATGTTTTCACTATAGAGAAAAAAATGCATTTTTTAAGCTGCAATTGGTAATAAATATTTTTATGTAATTACATATTAAATTAATGAAAAGTTTAAAGTATTTAAAATTAAATGTATATAATACATTTTATAAAGATGGTGCAAAATTGTGTTTATACTGCATAACTAATAAATTTCAGTTTTCCAGTTGAAAATAAAATTTTTAGTTTATAGGTACTTATACTCAATTAATAAATGGTTATTGTTATTAGCATGTTATCCATTCGAAGGACAAGATCCATTTATAATCAAAGAAATGCCAGATGTATTTTTTGTATCAAATCAACAATCATTTCAGACATCACTAAAAACAAATGGCAGTGGTAATTATTAATTACACTAATTAAGATCAAATAAATAATAGATTAAGAGGGAGCTACAACCTCAAGTGTTGTTGCCTTCATGCAAAACGTTTAGCATTTAACCAATTTTGTGTTGTTAATTTAAATATTAGAGTTAATTGGCTTATTTATATTTTAATAGGAAAATATTTTAATTTTCAAGCAGGTTAGGTATGAGTATTTAAAATATAAATATGATCATACCTTGCATAAAAAGTATTCTAAAAACTCAAAACAAGGAATCACATTTTCTTACCTTAAAGATTGACCCCTGACCATGGTTAACCAACCATTCTAATATAAAGCTAACAACACAAATTTCCTATGTTGTATTTTTTTAAGGTGGAAACACATGCGAGTGTGGCGTCCTCCAAATTAAGATTTGTTAGTAATTAAATTATAAAATGTTTCAGGCAAACCTACAAGACTTATAAGTGTGCCGTCTTTTTCATCAACACAAACTTGTATTTTACTGAACCTCAATAATTTAGAATGTCATCCGGTATCATTTAAGACATTTGCACCTTAATAATAATGTCATATTTTTAATAAGTATTAACTAGTTTCATTTAAGTACACTGTTCAATTTTATCTAATATTGTGTAAAATAAAAATAAATGCTGTACGATATATTTATTATACATAAACAAAAATTATTTATTTCTATTATTTGCATTTAAAGCAAGTTGAATTTCTTCAGGAGTCAAAATATTTAATGATGATAGCGCAGCTAGCAGCTGGTCCCGAGAACAACCAATGAACTTATGATTCAAAAATACTGGAAATCCGCGGTAATGGTCACCCAATGTATATAAGGGAACCCTAACTGTACCAAGCACCTATGAAATTATTTAAAATTATTTCAAGTTTTTTTAAATTAATAAAATAATAACATAATTACTTCAGTTCCATAATCACGTGCAAGCGAAGCTTGTCTTTCAATTTCAATCAAATCAATCATATTAACTTTTAATTTGTAAAAGTGTAAAACTAGATTTTTTTTCTCACTCCAATGAGATATTATATGATCATCATGATTGACAGAATGTTTGGTGGTATTTAAATTCATTTCTTCTGCCATTTCTCTGTTAACAGCAGAAACAAAATCTTCGTCAGCATCAATTAATCCACCAGGAAATCCAAAATAACCATCATATCTCAATTGCATCTAAAATAAACCAAAACCAATTTCAATTGAAGAGTTCATTATTTTCTTTGTATTTCAACAACTTACTAGAACTGAAGCTCGAGGATTGTAAATATCAAATACTCTTTCATTATTCTCTGCATATATAAAACAATGAGCAGCATGATTTGAGCCTGCATACTTTTCACAGTGTATTTCAGATTTAGGGATGACTATAAACTCATTGGGTTCAGGAGGTCTTCCAAATGCTTCAGTACTACCCAACCATCCCCATGTACGGTCACCAGTAGAAGTCATCCCTACAATTAAGAAAAAAATTAAACAGTTAAATATGAATGATTGTTTAAAAATTGGCTTAGTTCACGACTGAAGTGTTTTTATTTTATCTAATCTAATCAACAATACAATGTCATTTAGCAACCACTTGCGTAATACAAAGAAATTATAAACATGTTGAGATATGTTTGGTCTTTGACAAAAGGATCACTTAACCTATTAAATATTAATAATACATCAAAATAAAAGACTTGACATTAATTGTTATAACTTAAAATAAAAAATATTAATTTCAAATCTAAATAATGTAAAATATTTTATTTGTATAATAAATTATTAGATAAAAATTTGTATACAATAATAGAAAATAATCATCAGACATTTTTGTAAGTAATATACAAACAAAATTCCCAAAGCCAAAAATAATAAAATAGATTTGGTATTTTTTTTTTCAAATTGATTATTATTTATTATATAGTTGTAGGTATTTATTATTTTGGTCAGTAAATATTTTTTTTTAAATATACCTGAATTTTCATCTGAATGTAATGATTTGATTAGACAACAACTATCTGCAGGTCCTGAGTAATCTAAATTATACAGAAAAAAAATATTTTTATAAAAACGTATAAATAACTACCTAAATAACTAATCTGATATAATATTTTAAATCTTTGTCACATTTGAAATATTATATTGACAACAATATTAAACTTCATAATATAAATAAATAAAAATATCATAGTAATAAATAATAATTATTATAATCCCTGCAATTAATCAACCGCTAATTACTCAAAATTACAACGATTCAATTTTCAAATAATATTTGCTAATATGAATTCAATAATATATGCTTACCAATCAAATTTACAGATGGAATGGCATAGGGTTTTAACTGTATAGAATTATCATGGAAACAATTTTCATGAAAATGATTTTTACATATAGTTATAGTTAAATATAATTCTGTGTCATACATTGTACTTAATCCGGTTCTTTCTGCCCATATATCCAACAAACGTTTATCGCCAAATGGAAAATTATAAAGTGGTAATCCTTTTGGCGTTTTACAACTAGGAACAAAGCAAACTGGTTCGTAACATTCCCTATAAAAGATATTGCTACTAATGAGTATTCCAAAATCAGAGTAAAACAAACAAGTGCTACAATATATTATCTTCACGGTTAAAGGCCAACAAAAATAAAATAAAACTCAACTATATAAGCAATTTATAAAAGTGATTTCAAGAAGTACCTATTCAAAATTTACTGTACTAAAATGGATAATTTTTTTTCATTACAATTTATTAGACTGAGACATGAATAAGCACCGTCAACCACCATCTGAACATTTGCCACTCAGATTTTTTTTTTAATCAAGAGGTTGATCTATTTGTTTGTTAATAAATTATCGTTCACTTATAATTCAAAATTTAGATTTGAAGGGAAGTACAGAAAAAAGTAAAAAATAAGAAATATTATATAAACTGTAGAGAGCCAGATAAAAATAAATAAATAATAAGATAGGTATTTTAGATTAAAAGTGAAGGAAATACTGATGTCTAATTGTAATTTTATTTTCTATTGATATTGTGTTGAACAATACAGATTGAGAACAGTGGTGTCATTTGGGTGGGGGGGAATTTTCTCAGTGTAGTATTTACATCAAACTTAAGTCAGTACATTTACCCCTCCCCCCACTTAACCAATATGGCACTATGCTGATAATGTGAGTGAACAACATTTTGAGTCAGAAAATCAGTGAAAAGTTGCCCTAGTCTAATAAAAACTGAAATGACACCACTAATTGAGAATAGGTTACAAGAGTACTTCTAAAATATGCATACATTTAAATTACAGTGAATATGAAAAATGTTTATTAAGTTGTTTTGTTAATAATATAATCGACATGTCACCATAAACATACATAATATAGTATACAAAAAAAAAAAAAAAACATTAATTATTGCTTAGTTGGATAATTGATACCATTTTTAAGAGGATGTTAGCGCACTATTTGTTTTCTCTCCCAAGCCCCCCCGCAACAAAGACAAAACGCATTTACGCAGAATCATTTTTTCTGTTTTTAACTAATCTTAGAGTAAAATCAAGAATTACAAAAAACATAGAGAATAATATTTTTGAGGGAATGACTTATCGATTTGTCTAAATATTGTCTCAATAAAATTTCAACATAATTTAAATTTACAACATTTTTTTGTTTATTTTGAAAGTTAAATAACAATAAAATATAAAATCGATGTCATTCCCTCAAAAATATTATTCTCTATCTTTTTTGTAACGGGTGATTTTACTCAAAAGATTACATAAAAACATAGAAAAAAATATTTGGCGTTAATGCATTTTGTCTATGTTGCGAGTAGACCAGAGAGAGAAAACAAATAGTGCACTGACATCCTCTTAACAATTATTGTATTTGGTTGGTAATAGTCTTACCTTCCAAGTGAATTGAGTGACAAATGTTCAGATGACAATAAATGTTGAACCGTCTCCATACCGATAATAAGACTTTACGTTTAAAGAATTGTTTTATTAAATCATGAAATCAATTCAAAGCTTACTCAAATTTTTTTGAAATTGTATCATTATCTTTATCATCATTTTTCCATTTCAAATTATATTGCTTAAAAATATTTTTTACTAACATACATTCATCTGTATTCATTATAGATATATTAATATTTAATATTACTTTGTTCTAATCTAAAGTAACAAAAAAATACATAATATATACAAATACAATTTACGTATAGTAAGAAAAAACATACGTGCTGATTTTATCGGGTAATGGTTTTTTTTTTTTTTTTTCTGATTGTTTGGTGTTTAAATGACCCAAGACTTTAGATTTTCTTCTTCTGAAACAATTATTTTTAATAATATTAAAACTTTGAATACTTAAATGCATATATACATTGGAATGTATTTCAACCGTTTATTAAATATATGATTATGTATAGCATATATGATATTTTATATAAACATAATAATATAGTAGTGTTCAAATGAATAATACATCTGATTGCCACTTTTCTACCTAGTACGGACACCTATATATTTTAAATTCAAATTTACTTGTTAGTTAAAGAACATGGCTTTTGTTTTGTATTTGAAATATCTGAAAAAATTGAAGGAACGGCACTGCATAACAAATCTGCTAATTTAACTCCGGTTGGTGACTTTTTGTAATCATCTTCGATAAAATGTTCACTGCAAACATTGTAATGCTTAGTTGGAGTCCAATTATCAATTTTTAATGCTTTCAACCATTTCTCGAGTAATTCTTTATCATGCAAAGGAAGTCTGAAATATAAAATGAGAAATTAATATAATATAATTTTTCATTTAAAATAATCGCGGTATTATATTTTATGAACAATACCGATTATAGTATTACACAATTCTTTGGTTTTAGGTAAACATAAAAAATAATAAATAGCTTGAATTGGATTTGATAAATATTTAAAATTTTCATTAAAAAAAGGTATAATCATTTTGTATATATAAATTGAGTAATGGGTTTTTCCATGTATAACGTATTAATATACCAATAACTATGTGAGAACTATAGGACAAGATAATGATTTTAATATCATCTTTTGAATCTATAGTACGTCTTGTAGTTTATCATTAATACGATGTGTTATAGAATATAATATGTTAATGAATTAATGATTAATATTTATAGACCTTACCGATGAAATATAATTCCATTTCCTTTTATTAACTTGTTCTTACAGTTTTGAACCGTACAGCTTAGGACCATATTATCTGATGTCTAACAAATCTCCGAGATTTTTAAGCACAATATTTAATACTTAAATTATTAGAAGAAAACATTAATTAAAAGTCCAAATATTATGTCTGTATATAAAACTAGAGTATCGGTAATGGTAAAGAGACAGTAGAGTAACTATTGTAATATTTTGTAACTATATACGTCCTATAAAAAAATAGTAGGTACAGGTACGTCTAGTCAGTATTGACTATTGATAACTCATGGTAAATAGTCCATTATCAATAATATAGATACCACGGTTATAATCTTTAGACCAGGGTTACAAGCCGGTGAGAAATAAAACCATAATACGGGCTATTAGTGGTGATAAGAATAACCGTTATCAGAAATGGCATTTGGTTCCAAACAAACATATTTTAACACTGGATTTAATAGGAACAAAACAATTTTGTTTTTAATTAATTTTATTCTTATGATTTTTTTGCTTCTTATGGTTAAATATTGCGCCAAATTGTATTAAGATACCACCTTTTATCACTTGAAACCATAATATTATCTGAATTTGTTTACGGTTTACTTTTAAAAAACGTTAACAGAAACTCGTCTATTGCTAGTATTTGTAAAATTGTTGCTTTTTCTTTCCTTAAATGTATTTTACCTTTAATAATGGCTGGAAATCATGTATTATCCATTAGTTCTCTGTGTAGTTTTTTTAAAGACAATATGAAACAGTTTAGAAGAGGTGAAATAGCATATAAAGATGGCCATGTATTAAAATTCCAGGCAGATTTAGAGCAAAATATTGTTGTAGGTGACGTCAAACCGAGTATGAAGAGTGATCCTTACAAGGTTAGGATTTTATTAAATGACGGTAGTATATCTGATACCCATTGTTCTTGCCCACGCGGAGTTGCAATTTGTCACCATATTGCAGCTTTGGCATTGTATATCCATTATAACCTTAGTTCAACTGACAAAGCTTGCTCGTGGAGTGCTAGACCAGTTAATGTGTCTAGTAATGTAAAAAATATTAACGATATGTATGGCACATATAATATTCAAAATACAAGTATTGCTGAGGTGGATTTTGAAAACTTCAAAAATACCATCAACAATTTATCTGTTCCTGTAGGATTTACATGGTTGTTAAAGCCAGAACCAGAAATAAAAGAGGCCAAATTTGTACTTCCAACTATAAAGAGCTTTGTCCAAGATTGTAAACAATTGGTAAAAAAAAATGATTATGAGGCAATAAAATTGTATTTACAAAGTAAACTGTATATACCCAATAATATAGTAGAGCAAATTGCTAAGGAAACCATTGGGCAGAGTGAAAACCCATTATGGTTTGAATATAGAAAAAACCGAATAACTGCAAGCAAATTTGGTGTAGTTCTAGCAGCTTGTAAAAGGGGTAAATTTTCAAAATCCCTGTTTAAATCACTAGAAAATAATGCTAATATAAAAGGTATACATGCTGTACAATGGGGTATTACAAATGAAATCGAAGGTATTAAAGTTTTAGAAGAAAATAAAAATGTTAAAGTTGTTTCTACAGGTTTATGGCTGAGTAATAACGGTTTTCTGGGAGCTTCACCCGACGGAATCGTAAATTCTGATTATATTGTTGAGGTGAAATGCCCTTGGAAATATAGAAATAAAAATCTTGAAACTGAAATAGAAAAAGACCATAATTACATTGTATATAAAGAAAATAATATAATTTTAATTAACAAAAATCATATATATTGGGACCAAATCCAAGGGCAATTATATTTGACCAAGCGTAAATGTTGTTACTTGGTAGTATGGACACCTGGTCAGTCAATTATAATAGATATTGAAAAAGATGTGGAATGGGAAGTAAACTTGGACATTTTAGAGAGATTTTTTATCACCAAATACATACCATCTCTCATCCAGATGTAGAATTTTACTTTTAAACCATGTTTTTATTTAATTTGTTATAAGCATCGTTATTAATAACCTTATTATTAAGTTTTATTTATTTGAATAGTTTTTTACCAAAGAAATGGTCAAAGATAGGCCAAAGGAACCTTTTATTTTAATTTGTATTTTATTATTAAATTCTATACTTTGTTATTCTAATATTTGATTTAATTTCTGTTATTATGAACATTATTTTTTACAAAAATAAGATTACATTAATTCATATTATGTAGAGCTTAAATTAATTATAGGTACATAATATTATCAAGTTCCTGAAAAGATTTGAAAGTTCCTTTTACTTCAGTACAGTATCAATTATTTAGTTTTAATTACATTAGGACAATAGTATAAAATATGTAAATCTTTTCAAAGGTTAATTTTAATAGTATATAAAAAAATAGATTGTAGAACTTTATAAATTATAAATTTTCATTTATTTTATAATTTAATACATAGGTACTATTTGTTTTTTTTTAAATATTTACATCTTATCTTTAATTTCCTGTAAAAGAGGTGGCTGTAAATTTGTTAAAGCTGCGATTACTTGAAATATAGAATTAGCTTGTTTTAATAACGAGGAAGGAATAAAGTTTAATATATCATAGCATTTTATGCGTTGTATTGCCCTTTCAATGTGTATACGGGCTTTAGCAATCGATTCTGTTTGAATAATTTGTTCTTGTGTAAATTGTGGAGTATCTAAGAATGGGGGTATATTTAATAATACACCTGGAGGCAAGATATCTTGAATTAAAAATCCTTTATCTGCCATCACTAGATCACCGGGTACTAGCTGTTCAAGTATGCCACTCCTTAGAGTTATCACTTTGTCTGATGTCGACCCAGGAAATAGATCACTCACAAAAGTAACAACTCCATTTGGAGCAATTCCAACAAGTACTTTCCAAGTATTACGGTGTTTATAGCTACTATAAGTATCCCTTTGAGCATTCATGGACAAACGTGATACACTTGTAAAAACCTCAGTACAGTCAATGACCACACGACAATTTGAAAAATTTTTGAATGCATTAGGAAGGCAAGTTTTATTTTTATGTCTGGATGGTATTTTATTCATACATTTACTAAAAAGTATGTTGTGTAAAATATTTATCCAAGTTATTGTAATATTACTTATAGTAGCTACACTACATCCAAACCTCACAGATAAGTCTACATGAGGAAAATTATGTCTCAGCTTCATTAATGTTATGAGTAATTGGTCAGGTTTACTTATGCTGTTTACTTTCCAATTCAAATAATAATGGATTTCACAATTTTTTAGTAAATTAAATAGGGCCAAAAATATTTCATTAGAAGGTAATCCTGTGTAAAACATAACAAGTTCTTCTTTTTGACACAAGTTTTCATATGCAAATGCAACACTTAAGCTGTTAATTTTTAGTTGTAATATTTTGTTTTTTTCTTTAAGAGAATAGTTTTCAAGCTCCATATTTGATGGTTTAAAACTGTAATAAAATACATGGTTTTTAATATCTAAATAACCAAACATTAATAATATAATATAATATACCTATCAATTTCTTGAGGGCGGAGAGACAAATCAATTGGCCCTTCTTGAAATATTTCAACCTCTGGCAGTGGGTTGTCATCAGATGTGAATTCATTTACTGGGTCATTTACAATTACTGGCTTCTTAACAATTTGTTTTTTTTTTTTCTTCTCAGGAGACAAATGGTGCTCAAGAAACTGTTTTTGTCTATGAGATAAAAGTGTAGGAAAGTTTGATTTCATACCATCTTGAAAATGACAACTGCAGACCCGAGACGTTATACTTGGATAATCTGTTCTCCTAAATTAAAATAGATACACGTTTTAAAAAATTAAGTACTTAATGCAGGTATATAAACCTTTACACACTATATTTAAATCTATAACGACAGAAAATATAAAATAAATACTAGGTACCTTAGAAGCTTTATCCATTTTTGTTTCTGGTTCGACTTTGTAGGAAATCTAAAGAACTTACAATTGTATCTGTTGCTGTTATGAGAACAGCCAACTGCCCAACAACAAACCATCACAATACTGTAAATTATTATTATACAAAAAAAAACCGAGAATTTATGAAAAAACTATAGTTTTAGATTGAAAATATAATTTTTCATATAGAATCCTATGTTAAAATATGTTTGTTTGGAACCAAACGCCATTTCTGATAACGGTTATTCTTATCACACTAATAGCCCGTATAAAACGCACCGGAAATCGGGATAGTTTGCACCTGACTACCAGAGGAAATTCTGTAGCGGCAAACGTTGCAAAAGTTTAATAACTGAGAAATTCGGAACGTCCGTTTGCTAAACGAATCTGCAAACGTTTGCAAATGCCCATGATCCAGAGTTTGGTCTGTTTAATGAATTTACGATTTTACGAATTTTTACCTTTTCAACCTTTCAACCGTTGGCGTTTGTTTTACAAAACGTTTACCGCTACAGAATTTCTTCCCAAAGTTCAAGAAAAAACCGTTAAAATTACATTTGTCGAATGTTTAATTACAGAAAATAATGTTACAGAATTATAAACAGCCAGAATATAAAAATCCAAGAAAATATTGATTGATCAGAAAATAAAATGAACGAAAAGGATGCCATGATTATATTAAATTTATCATAACTCATAGTATATGGACTTAGGGCCGTTCTTACGACGTCCGGTTAAAGTTAACCGACACTTAACCGGAAGAATTCTGCCGGTAATAAAATCTGTTATCAGTCGGTTAGCGTTAACCGACACTTTACCAGACATTGTAAGAACGGCCCTAAGATAGGTATCTTATTCGATTGGCCTAATAAATAACCCGGGAAAAAATAACCATAATATAATAAAAATGTTTTGTAAAAGTACCACTATCATAATGCACGGTGAAAATATGAGAAGAAACTCTATTCCAAATTTTAAGTCCGTACGTTGAGTAGTTTTTGAGATACAGCGATCTGTGAGTCAGTGGTATTTGGATCTTATATGTATACAGTATGTCCCAAAAGTCCCGTATCACCCTTAATATCTCCATGTAAAATCACTATATTTAAACGCGGTTTTTTTTACAGTACTAA